AATAAAATATGGATGTAGAGGGGTAGGTGGAAAAATAAAAAATTGTAAAAAGCAAAAGTAGTTGAGAGAATTAAGAAGAGAGAGAATATAAAATTAATAAAATACGATTTATGCTGGGTCCACTAGTTGAGAGGAATAAATTAAATATTGTAAGAACTTTCTAAATGAGGAAATGGAACAAGTATTTAAAAACGGACGAAAATAAAAAATAGAGCAAGTATTTAAAAATGGAGGGAAATTGAATAGAGGAAATAATTTAATAGAGGGTGAAGGCGCCAATCCCCTTTCACTAGGGGTGGGACTTTTCAAACCGAACCGTGAAATCGCCCGTTACCGAACCGAACCATCACGGACCGATCCGTTTATAAACCGATAAATATAAACCGAAAACCGAACTGAACCGTTCAATATCAAACCGAAACCGAATTGAACCGCTCAATGTCAACCTGTTACGGACCGTAAATCGATAACAAACCAAACTGCGCAAATCCGAACCGAAACGAAACCGAACCGAATGGTTTATAAACCCGTTAATGACCCGAACCGTTTAAACCGAAAAAAAAAACCGTTTAAACCGAACCATTTGTAACCCGCTAACCGTTTAAACCGACCCGTTTATGAACCGAAACCGTTTAAACCGCACGTATAAACCGAACCGTTATAATCCGCTAACCGTCTAAACTGAACTGCCATAACCCGTTAAACCGTTAAAATCGAACTGTTTTCGAATCGCAACCTGTTTAAACTGATCCGATTACAAACTACTTAACTCAAATTGAATTATTTACAACCTAAATGGCTAAATAGTAAATGCAATTATGTTAATAAATGTAGATCTAATCAAACGGCTTAGGTTTATACAAAGGTTTATATCACCTAGATCTAGGCCAACGACATTATTAATATCGTTTTAGATTACTTATTTATTTTAATTACAAGATATATCATTTGTATCATTTTCATTCCAGTAATAATGCTAGTCCACCCAAATTATCTTCATTGTTCCTTGATATTCATGATCATCCAATAACACTCAAAGCCTCAAAGGTAACATAAGATTGGAGATGTATGAGATTGCGTTACACAAGTGGCATAAGCATTAGAATATTACTGTACTAGTCAATAAGGCGTACAATCATTCACATTATCACTTTATAAAACTTTCTTATACAAGTATTTTGTAAAGGGGAGGACTAAAATGTTTATAAAACACATTTTTTTTAGCTTTTCTTATATTAAACCAAATATTAAGTAAAAGAATTTTAATAAATACGGAGGCATCCCAAATATGTAGCCACAATTATTTCATAACATTACCACAAATCCAGCAGATAAATAGCATTGAAATTAGAGTAATATCAACAAGCAATTAAAAAAAGTCACCATTTTCATTGATTAAAATTCACAATACATATACCAATACATAATGAAACTACTATCACTACTACCCAGATTAGATTTCAGATTTATCAACTGAAACATCATACCCAGATTAGATTTCAGATTTATCAACTAAAACATCATCAAGTTTAGGGTTGCAAAAAATGATACATTATAAGATGAAGGGAGGAGTGAGAATGTGAGTGATTTGGGAGCAGAATCTTGAAGCAGCAGCACAGCACCCAAGAGCAGAGGAAATAGCAACAACAAGCAGGAACCAGCACACGGAATAACAGATCAGCAACTTATCAGAAGCAAGGAATAATATAAGCAGAAGGGACTCAGCAGGAACTTATTTTTGTTTTTCAAAATTGCTCTCAGATTTACGTTTATCGTATCATCACTGAGCAATGGCTGTTTTAACTTAAAACTTGAAAAATGCTGCCAGCAAGTACATATACATTGAAGTCTCAACATAAATGACAAGGGCAACGATGATTCAAGAAAAATTAAAACAGCAAGCATAAGAAACAGCAGCAACAAAACTTATCATAAATTCATAACACAAAAGGCAGCAACACAGCACCTCAAGCTGGCAGGAGGCAGGAACCAGCTCATGCAGGCAACAATATAGGCAATAACAACTCAGCAGAGACAACAACCAAAAGGCAAAAGCACTACCAGCAGGCAGCAGCTCATAACAAGTTCAAGCAACTTCAAAATTATAGCTTTTGTTTTTTTAAAATTGCTCTCAGATTTACATCACTGAGCAATGGTTGTTTTAACAAAAACTTAAGAAATGCTGCCAGCAAGTACCAAAATACATTTAACTATTTAAGTCTCAACATAAATGACAAGGGCAACGATTTTAAAAGTCTTGAAAAATGCTGCCAGCAAGTCTGAAAATAAATGACAAGGGCAACGATTTTAAAAGTCTTGAAAAATGCTGCCAGCAAGTCTGAAAATAAATGACAAGGGCAACGATTTTTCAAGATAAAATAAACCACAATGAGACACAAATACCAGTTATGCAGATGAAGCACTTTTGGCTTCAATCTCTTTACCAATAAGGAGGACGTCTTCCTCAACATCCGCTTGATAACCACGGCACCAATTTTGGGTGGTAACCAATGCCTCAACATTCTTTGGCAAAAGTTTACCCCTATATCCTCAAAAAGAAAAAAGCATACATAAGAAAAGCTTAAACTTTTTCAAAAGTTTCCAATGAAATTATGAACCTATAAATAAACATGAGATGTTTATTTTACTAGCCCTAAACTAGCATTTATTTTATGCACATAACTGCAGAAAGTGACACAATTTGGTCTTTTGTTAGGTAAAAAAGCCAATAACCACATAATCTGAACAACCCATCATCATTACTTTTAAATCGAGCATTATAAACAACAAAACATCACAAATCTACCATTTTCCTGTAAAAAACAAAAATACAATCAACAACAAATTTTAGGCATATTTCGACTATATTCAAGCAAGAACAACAACAATAAACAAATACAAAAACAGAAAAACTGTATTAAAAAAAAAAAAAAAAGGAAAAAGTAATTACCTTTGACGGCTTGAAGGAGATTTGAAGATGGAGAACTGCCTGAACTGGAGATCAAAAGAAAAAATCAAGAATGTAGATTATCAGAACTTGAAATAAAAAAAAAAAACCGAACTTTTGAACTTTTGAGTTTTGAACTTTTGACGGCTTGAAGCCTTCAAATTGAAGGAGAGGAAGATTTGAAAAAACAAAAAAACGAGAATGTAAAGCGAGAAATCAGAAATGTAGATCCAAAACACAAATGAAACGAAAACAAAAACCCTAATTAGGATTTTTAAAAGTTGAGAAGTTGAGCTTGAGATTCTTGAGAATTTAAAAACGAAAGAGTGAGGAACTGAGAAGTTAGAGAGAGAAACTATGAGTGAGTAAAACGGCTGAATGGCTGATAGAGTGGGTTTTTTTTTCTAGGTTTAGGTTTTACTTGTTCAGTTGATCTAACCGTCCATATTCAATCTCAACATCTGACCGTTCATTTTTTTTATTTTTTTTGTAGATTCCAGAATATTCATCTAGATCTAACGGTCTAGATTTTTCTTTGTGCTTTTCTAGGTCTTTTTGACCGTTTTTCTTTTATTTATTTATTATTATTATTATTATTATTATAATTATTTGTTAATATTATTATTATTACTAGTTTACTACTACTATTATTATAATATTATTATAATAATTATTATTATTACTATTATTATTATTATTATTATTTATTATTATTATTATTATTACTATTATTATTATTATTAGTTTATTACTTATAAGTTATAAATTGTAAGAAACGCAAATGTTTCAAAATTGAAATTGATTCAATACGACATAGTTAATGACTTAATGAGTTAATGCACATCAATATCTGACATCTCTATATGTATACTATATATATCTGTGAGTCTGTGACTGTATATCAGTATATATATATATAATAAACTAATAATAACTTAATAAGTAATACTAATAACTAATAAAGTAATGAAAATCTAACCATTGTTTTTCATGGGCATTCAATCTAACCGTTGTATATTTGACTATTCGTACATTAGTATTGCATAATGATTTCATCACCACTTTAATTAGTGATTTCGTGATTTCGTCCATTTAACTTATTAAGTTGTTTGAGTTAGTAATCTAAATAAGTAACAAACTAAATAACGAATCCATTTAATCTCGTGTAAGTTATAATTTATAAGAAATGCAATGTTTGAAAATGGAAATTGATTCAATACGATATTGTTAATGTATATGTAATTATAGATTAATTATTATGTATATCATATCGTACGAATGTACGGTTGGTATCATTATCATACTATCATAAGTATCATTGCCTCATTGAATTATTGGTATGTACTACAATCGATAAATATATTTACATATCTGATCATTAAAACTTAAAAGTTTAAAACACTTGTTGATCAATCTAATTGAATACTTGTACATTCTTAATTATCGATTTATCGTATTATAAGTATCAACTCATTAAATCATGGTCATGACGCGATCTTTAAAACAATCATGAATTCATGACCCAAACCGCTTATAAACCGAACCGACATGATCCAAACCGTTCATAAACCGAACCAATTGAACTGTGTAAACCCTCCACTAAACCGGCCCATTTCAAACTGAACCGACATGATTCGCACCGTTTATAAACCGAACCGATATTGACCCGGGTAAACCCGCCCCTAAACCGACCTATTTCAAACCAAACCGGCTTGATCCAAACCGTTTGTAAACCGAACTGACATTGACCCGGGTAAACCCGCCCCCTTAACCGACCCGTATCAAACCGAACCGACATAATCCGAATCGTTTATAAACCGACCCGCTTATGACCCAAACCGAATTTAAACCGCAAAGAAATAAACCGAAACCAAACCGAGCCGTGACTAACCCAAACCGAACCAAACCGACCCGCCAGCTAAACTAAATCGTTTCAATCCGAACCGCTTCAAACCGAAACCGACTCACACCGAGGTCAAACCGAACCGCCAGATCGAAGTCCCACCCCTACCTTTCACTATGAATGAGCAAAATGAGCAACGTGGACTGAAGCTCTGAGAACAATTTGACTTGTCATTACTACTCTTTTTTCTGTTTCTCCATTACTGCTTCACTTGGAAAAACAGAAACCCAAAAACCCTCATTCTTTCTTCATTTTTCAAAATCCTTTGACCTTTCCTGCAAAATTCACTCTCCAATTTTGAACAAAATGGGTCGGAAACCCCGAGCATCAAAGGTCTGTTTTTTTACACTTCTTTCTCTCTCTTCTGTTTTTTTTTTTTTTATTTTTTTTTTATTGCTACTCAGCCATTTTGTTTTTACCTTTTCTATTTTTTTGTTGTTCTTGTAATTAATTTTGTATTTTTTACCTGAAATTTTGAATTTTTAGTTGTATAATGTGCAAATGAAATTTAATTGAACTATCTAGACTACATGAAAATGCTTTAGTAATACGGACTATTATAAGAGAAAATTATTCTACTGTACTGTAGGTTAGTGATACGATTAACTTCTACGTATTGATCGTCCGAATTGTCAGATTGGTATTTGAAAATGAGGGATTCAACAACCCCGGCATCATTTTTGGTGTAGAGAAAGTCGCTAAGGGCAAATAATGTAAATGAGATTTGATCCCGGGTTGTGTTAAACTATTAAACTCTCTAGGCTTTTTGTTCGCGGAATATAGGTATGAGGTATGAGTTTAGAATGACTAAAACCCATACCATGTTTTTGGTTGTCAAAATGATGAATTCTAAACCCATACCTCAAACCCATGAGGTATGGGGTTTAGAAATCTTGGGGGAGGTGGGTTTGGTTTATTCTAGTCCCTTAGGTATCATATAAAAGGAGGGAATAGTGAGAGATTCCATTCTAGAATTGAACCAAACACATGGTATTAAGTATCAAATTCCAACCCAATACTACCTTAACCCCATTCCTGATTCCAAACCCATACCACTCTGCGAACCAAACGCCCATTAGTAGCCTGGCATCAACACCCCAATGTCATTGAAACTTTAATTTTCGCGGTGAACTTAAACTTGTGTGTGAATGGTAATGCACTACTTCGAATTAGACCATAGGTCCATAGTTAACCCATCCATCCCTAATTAATAGAATACAATTGATGTTGGTGGTTTCAATGGAATTTAGCTAAGATGCCATAACTTTCCTTCACAATGTGAGGTATTTTTATCGAAGTAGCTCTTAAAGACTGATTAGTACCCTTGAATTAAAAATATTTAATTAGATATTTTGATTGACTGAATTTTGATAAAGGTGTTGCTCCTTTTTGCTCATTTTATTCTTTCAAATTTAGCTTAACTTTTACTTACAATGATTTTGCCCCCGTCTGTTAGTTTATCCTTCTCCTTAAATCTTCCTTTCTAATTCATGTTACATTCATTGATTCACGTATGACTCATTTTGCACCTCGACTTGTAGAACATTGTTGTTTGGGGTTTGAATTGTTTAGCTAATCATTTGAATGCTTGTTATAGGCGGGACTCATCTATCAGAGACTTTTTAACTTAGACGCCTTACCTGATAAACCACTGGTATATGTATACTTCCTCCGTGACTCTGTCCCATTTATAATTGCCTTACAACTTGCAATGAATGGTTTGGTCATATACCCAAGACTTTGACCTATATGATCACCAATGCATATGAATAAACATTATTGTCTGGGGCTTGTTAAATTTGTTTTGATACATCGTATAAGATCTTGAAAACAATCCTATTCAAAAATTTTAAACGCTACATACATATAAATGCATGAAGTCATGGAGATGTGCAATGAGATCGTGGCAAAGCTAACATGAATGTTACACTGGGAATTGGGATGGAGGGAGAATTGTTTAGATGCCTAAGCTGTCGCTACTTTGTGGATCCAAAAACTATAATTTATGATGTACATAATCACTTGCTAGAAGCAAATTTGATCAAATTTACTGTATTTTTCATTGTATTTTAATCTTATTATGGAGGCAGTGAGGCTGATGCCCACATCTATGTGGTCCCTACTGGTCTGATAACAATGAATGCATCTTAGGTAGCTTTCCGCCATCATTGTCTTGCGAAATCCTTCTAAGTGTAGTTTAGCTTACCTGAAATATTTTGGTTCCTCCAGGACAAGGATTAGGTTTGGTACCTTTGTTTTGAGTTGTGAAAATTGCATTAGATGGTCTCCTTTTGCACCATATCATATTTTTGTTTTTAATGAAACAATTAATTTCTCTCCTTTTTCTGTTCCTTTCTTCATAAATGATTTATCATTTTTAGCTGTCTAGATCAATCGAGTAAGTCCTACATTGTCCTATTGTTCTTAGATGATGCTTTAACTTCTTGATTGGTTTTTTTCTTTGACATAATGCTGGCAGCCTGAAAATTTTCAACCAACATCAGCACCTAAATCTGTGCCTGAAGGGCAAACAATTACAGCTGAAGGCACTCATCTTTCTGACACCTCACGTATTTTTAAGAGAAGGTTGAACTCTCCTACTGCCATGATTAGAAGATCTCCGCGGATCCAAAGCACATGTGGTAATCAAGCAATACAACCTATTATTGAAGAGATAATCATCAGTGGAAGTCCGAACAATGATGGGCCAATGCTACATGAAGACAACAAATTCACTGAGGAAGCATCTGATGTAATTATCACAACTTTTTCTTGATCCATTGCTTATTGGTTTTGTTCTTATTGATTGAAGCTATTTCCAACCCTTGATAGGAAACTGGAAGGTCTTCTAAGAAGGATGATGCTGGTGCCGCAGAAGTTAAGTACAAAGCCATGTACATATCATCCCAAAAAAAGGTACATACAAGCATGTAGTTGGACATAGAATGCGCTACCTATCTCTTGAGTCTTGACTGAATATATCATTTCCATACTGCATTAAATTCTCAGATTGAGGCTCTAATGGAGGAGAATAAGCAGTTGAGTAATGCCTTGGAGCTTGCCAATGGAAAGATCCATCTGGTATGTGCTAATTTTTGCCTTAATTTTGTTCAATAATCTTTGCAATTGTAGTCGGTATAATCTGTCAATAATTCTATGAAATGTATGAATAATGCTCTTGCTTTATTAGTAAAAGCTAGATTTTATATACTGAAGTATACTGGTTCAGTGCCTGATATGGTAACATTACAGGCTGACATTCTATGCTGACTTTGACAATACCTTTACATCCCAATGCCTCTTACAAGGATCAGATTTACTTAACCGAAGAACCTGTTTTTGTTATAACATACAGTTGCTATAAATAAGAATGTCCATATGATCCTTGTGTTCTCAAGAATCATAACATTTAAAGCACAAAGGCATTACCTCATACGGGCTTTCTTAATAGGACATCAGATTGACAATTTTGAAGTTTTTGATTTTCAAAAGGTGCACATATATTAGCTTTAATGCTAAAAATTGAATATAGAGTAATTTGATAGGACTTTGAAACATTGAAAGTTTGGAACCTTGTTCATAGTGGTTTGATCCAGTTTATTACATTTTTTGCTTCAGAAAATATCCTTTTTAAAAGCAGTTGGCATTAGGTTCTTGTGACTCGTTGATTATTAATGTATATATTCTAATTAAAATTTGCAACCCTGCAGCATGAGAAGCAGAGCAATGCGTATTCAGAAGTTATGGCTATAATTGGAAGTTTATCTAGAGTCAACGAAAATCTTGCTGCTCGAGTGAACCTGGGTGCTTCTGATGATAATGAAATATCCGGAGAAAGGACCTCTAAGAAGAAGAAGAAGAATGACATGTGTAACAACGGTCTCACTGAAGATCTCTGAAAGTTGGACTGCGATAACATGTTCTGTTCAACTCACATCCTATGTTACTTTTGATGGTGACACCTGGGTAAATTTTTTTGTGCAGCTCTACTAAATTACCCGGCGATTCCTTGTAATGACTGTTTATGCTATATATGTAATGACTATAATAACTATTAGGCTATAGACATGTTGAATACTTCAAAGGCAGCTCATATTATTAACAAAGGCGGATTCATTTCTAATTTTTCATCCTTTATAAAAAAAGTACAAGAACTCCAAGTACATGGCATAGTTGTAGAGATATTACAAAGAAAATCAAGTGGTGGTACATCTAAGGTTAAGCATCCATGTGACAGTGGAGTCAGTCTTTTAGCGTTACTTGCTCTCCTGCAAAGCTATCATCAAGGCAGGACGGAAACTCAAAAACCTCTGTTGATGTTTTAGGAGTTTGGGGATCTTCGAGATTGTCCTTGTCTTCAGCTGTTGGGGAAGAGAAATCTAAGCTAAGCCCTTGAATTACTTGTTCATATGAAGCAGACAAATCTTCGGAGGCAAACTGATGATACTCGACAAGTTGTCGAAGGCACTGATTTTCCCTTGTTAGATTCGCGTTCTCAGTTGCTAGTCTCGATTTTTCAGCAAGTAGTGCCTCTAATTGAAGCCTCACCTGTTATCACACACACACACAAAAGCAGGAATAACACATCAATTTCTGAATTTTACATAACTAAAAATCCGACAGCAATTATATTCCATAAATTTTTTTAAACCCTCGGAATTCATTACCAAATCATCGTCATCAGGTCTGTCATCTTTTCCAAACCCGTCTCGAAGTCTCTGGTTTTCCTCTTCCAGTAGAGCACACCTCTCTTGCAGAAAAAACATATCAGATTTCACTGATTTTAGTTCCCTAGCTAGTGAGGATGATTTCGCTGCCATAGCAACTGAGAGCTGAAAGAATATCAGACACAAAAATCAGTTTGATAAACTAAAACAACTAGACTTAAAAAACAAAAATGCTAAAAAAGAAATACTGTAAAATTGTGTTACATTTTTAACGTTCTTAAGGTTCAGTTCTGTTTGGTGCTTCTGTTTTTTTTTGTTCTCAGGAGTTGCTTCATTCTCTCCTTCGCCGTTTGAACAATCTTCTGCAGCAAGCTTTCTCTTCACTCCCTTTTTCTCTGAATTTTCCTGATTTTTATCTTTTTCTGATTCAGCCGCGTCGCTGCTACTGCTGCTGTGGATAATCTCTGTTACTGTTGAGGTTTTTTCTAGTTCTCTGGCTCCCTAACAAAAGAAACAATAATAAGAGTTTAGAATAATTCATACATCAAATTTCTGCCATCGATCTTTATTTAGACTATGTGAAGAGTGTCAAAAGACAAAATCCCAAGTATATATCAGAAATCCAACAGATTCAGATGATTAATCAAAGCAAAAAAGATTTGCAGCTGTATACTTCCATTCGTCCAATCGTACGGAATTAATTTTCACATTGATAGTGTATTTTGAACTACGAAGTCAATAGGTAAATTTAGACTGAATTAGTTACCTGAAGAGCTTTCTCAATATTGCCTGTGAGCTGAGAGAGTGAAGAGGCAATCGAATCGAAACCTCTGATCAAAAGCATCGAGTCCGCCTTCGATTTCTTAGCAGAATTCAATTCTCCATCATTCTGTTCCAAACCCCATAACAAATTAGGAAAAAAAAAAAAATCAAAAGTTCAGGATTTTTTTTCCCGAATTTTTTGGATAAACGACGAAGAAACACAAAATTAGATGAAGATTATAGATTACCGTTAAGGAAATCGGATAGGATCGAACAGATTTGCGATTCTCAAGAAGGGTTTCAACCCTTTCATGTAAAGCACTCCAATAACGCTTATCTGACGAGGGGCTAATCAAAGGAGATGCAGAAGTAGTCATTGGCAAAAGCGATTCCTAAAAATACGTGTTCGAGTCGAGTTCGGGTTTGAGATCAAGATGAAGAGAGAGGTGGTGTGTAAATTCTTTAGATGAGCAGCAGATGATGATGAATGGAGGGTCGTAGAAAGAGAGAATATGAAGGTTGTAACGGCTAGTATTTCTTTGGAGAAATAAAGGGGGAATGTTGGGGTTTAGCTTTTTGGTGTTTAAATAGTTGGCGCTAGTGTTACTAACGTTCGAAGAGTTAGAGACGGTGGATCTATCTGAATTCAACGGCATTGATTAAACTGTGTTCATCGTAGACTTTGTAGTTGAGGTTTTTTTATTTTTTATGTGGGGCATGTTACTTAAATGAGCTGTAATTAATATTTTTAATATGTTATACGGAGTAAATTATAAATTAGATTTATTTTGTTTAGAAAGTGTTTTTGTTTATTGATGATATAGTTCAGATTAATTGTTACTATTCGACTTGGATGAAATGAGTAAATTTTACTTGATAATGATTTTAGAGAAGGAAAATGTTAGGGCTTACATATAAGGAGGTAAGAAAAAAAAAAAAAAAAAAAAAAGCTCTTTGGTAAGACTCTATTTTTTAATTTTTGTAAAAACTCTTATTATCTTTGATAATCATAATATTGTAATATTTCTTACTCACGACATTAATAATAATTTTTAATTAAATCTTTAACTATAGTTAGATTTTTTTTTATTTTATAATTAAATTGTGTTAGAAATAATTTTTTTGAAAAAAACTCTTTTTCCACAAAAAAAAAAAAAAAAAAAAAAAAAAAAAAAAAACCCTCAATCCACGGACAGCAACCATCCTCTACCCCCCTCTCTCACGGTGCCCTGCCGCACAGCCCCTCCTACGCCAGCGACCACTTGGTGCCCAGCCTCCTCCCCCTCCCTCCCCTGCCAATGCCCCCCACCCCGACACCGAAAACTGCCCCCAAACCCTAACCCCACCCTGAAAACCGTCCCCTAACACTACAAGAATCAGGTTGATTTTCGACGGACCGGTTTCGACGGACACGTAATTCCGTCGGAAAAACGAAATTTCCGACGGATTTATATTTAGTCGGATATTTCCGACGAATTCAAAAAATCCGTCGGAAATTTCCGACGGAACATAAATCCGTCGCAATATTTATAATTTCCGACGGAATATTCCGTCGAAAAGTTAAATTTCCGTCGAAAAATAAATCTGCCAGAAATTTCTGGCGGAAATTCCGTCGGAATATTTAATTTAAAAAAAAATTCCCCTTTTACCCTAAACCGGAGCCTCCTTTCCCCTCTAATTTTTCGCCTCTTTTTCTCTTTCCTCTTCTTTTTCTCTCTCCTCCTCTTCTTCTCTTTCCTCCTTCCACTTAGCTTTCCACTTCTCTCTCTTACCTCCGCCTCTTAGCTTTCCACTTCTCTCTCTTTTCTTTCTCTCTCCTTTTCTCTTTCCTCTTCTTTTTTCTTCTATCTTCTTTCCCTTCTCTTATTTTTTTACCTCTTTCTATCTCACACCAACAACCACCACAAACATTAACATTATCACTAGAGCTTCCTGGGTTTATTTCCACGCCGACGACGACGATAAACTCGTCGACAAGCCCACATGCTTAATGCCGACCCGAGACTACATGGCTTTGATTTTGTTTTGATTATTTAGGCCAAATTTGACCATTAAAAGCCTAGATCTAGACTTTTCATGGCCGAATTTGGCCTTGTTAAACCGTTTTCGTGGTGAAATTCGAAGCCCATTTCAATTTAAGGTATGTTTTATGTTTTAATTTTTCGCTTTTATTTCTGAGTTTTTTTCTTTCTTTTTTTTTAAATTTTTAGGTTTCTGAGTTGTTTCTGACTTTAGATTAACAATAAGGTGGGTTATTGGTCGTTATGGGTGCGGATCTGGGTTAGGAGATTCGGTGGTGGTGGGTGTGACTGATGTGTGTGCGTGTGGTGGGTGGCGATGGGATTGTGGTGGTTGTGTGCTTAGGTGGGTTTAGGGTTAGGGTGGGGATAGTTCTGATCTGGGCTTAAGGTTAGTTTGGGGAGAGTGGCGGCCTGATGGTGGTCTGGGCTTGGGGTTAGGGTTAGTTGGGGGCTGGTGGTGGTCTAATGTGGGGGGTAATGGCGGTGGTGGTATGATGTTGTGGTTAGGGTTAGTTAGGGGCTGGAGGTGATGATACGCCGTGCCGGTGATGGTGCGGCGTGGTTTTTTTTTTTTTTTATTTCATTGAAGCATTTTTCGACGGACTTTTCCGGGGCCTGAAAATCTCTTCCGACGAAGGAATTCCATTCGAAAAGTGTTTCCGACGAATTTCCGTCGGAATAGGTTGTTTTTCCTACAAAATCTTTTCCGGCAACCGGTTCCGACGGAATTTCCATTGGAAACGGGTTTTCCGACGGAATTCAGGGTGTTTCCGACGGAATTTTTCCATCAAAAATGGCCTGTTTTCTAGTAGTGTAAACCCTAAAGCCACCTAGAAACCACCCTAAACAGATGAGTTTGTGATAAGTGTCATTTATATCACTTTTTTTTTCTTCATAGTTTGATACCTTTTTACTTGGTTTTAATAACGTTTTATTACATTTATCGTGTTTGCATGTGAAATGTCATTATTGCTCAATTTGGCTTTTCTTGCTTATTTTGGTTGCTTCTTGCATTAGATTAAAATTTATAGGTTTATTCTTATGTTTAGGAACACATGGATAAGTTCATTGCTCAAGATTGAAGAAATAAAAAACATAATTGAACAAGTAATGAAGAAATGATGTGCACTTGATTTGCAAAGATCGAACTTCAAACGCCTATATCTTTTGATCTACAAAACATATCCTGAAACTATTTTAGAGGATCAAACATATCTAGAGAATCAACTGCCAACAGAACACATGGCACTTTCTTTCGAACCATTTGAGCCTCACACACAAAGGCAAACTGAATCGGTTTTAGAAGGAATGGAAAGCCAGTCCCCTACTAGACACTTACTTAACACAATTTACACGAAATATGTTGAAATCGTGAAGGGTATGATGGAGGATCTAAAAGGAAATAATAGAGAGCAGTTTGATAACTACTATCGTGTCATGGTGGAAGAAACCGCTAGAGTGGTAACTTTCGAGTTGAGAAACTTTGACTCCATTACCCAACAAGCGGTTACAAGACGGCTAGATAGGATTATTCTAGATATTAATGATACTCTGAACGCTACTAACGTGGAATTATCAAAAAGTGTAGCAACCGAGGTGGTTACAAGGCTTGAACCTTTAGTGAAAAAACATAACCAACTCAATGAGAAGTTGATGAATGTTCTAACCACTTTAGGTAGTGGGACTACTAAAGCAAATCAAAGGGATAATGTCCCTCAGGGATACCCTAGAGTGGAGAATATGACAAGATCTCATGCAAATCTGCCCCCTCTGTCAGTTCCAAGAAGCATCCCTCCTATTGGTTCTGATGAGGGGCATAGGAGTTAAGGAAGAGTTAATGGTTCAAGGCCAGGTTATGAGTCAAACTATAACCACAATAGCCAGGGTCTATCTTCTTCTTCTTTGCCTCCACCAGTTACCAAACACCCATTAACATCTTCAATGGGTAACATACCTCCTTTAGGAGCAGAGATTGATGTCAGTTATGCCAACTATGGTATTGGAAATCTGTCAGATCCAGCATGCCGCACACAAGCTGTTGTGTATGCACAAAGGATGTCCTCTCAATCTATTGGTATGAACGGTCAATAATCATCCACACAACCTTGGAATGATAACCATTATTCACATGGGTACTCAAACCCTGTCCACCCTACACAAGGTTCCTCATGGGATCAGGGTCCAGTGGTCCATTTGGAGACATGTATCCAGCGATGTCTTAACCCAATCCTAATACTTTAGGAGGGACAGGCGTTGGATATAGGGGTTTCCACAATCCTCAAAGGAACCAATATAATCCTTTTCACATGCAAGATACACCAGTCTAACAACCTAATGGTCCAATGCAAGGTCAGCCTCCACAAATGGGACAGGAGCCCCTGCTCAGACAAGTGGAGGAGATGATCCAGAGGGCTGTGGGTCAGAATGATGGATATGCTAGAAGGGGAACCTGCAATCCATACCACCCTGAATGGATTGATAGGATGTATCCTTTCCCAAGGGGATTCAAAGTTCCTGAATTCTCACCTCTCTTCTCTGGCGACAATACAATGTCTGTTGAGGAACACTTGGTCAAATTCAACTGTCAGTGTAGAGAGGCGGCAGATAATGAATTCCTTATGCTTAGAGTGTTTTCAGTTCTCATACTAGTACTGCCTTTTCTTGGTTTACTCACTTACCATCAAATTAAATTAAAAATGGCAAGATATGCAAACACAATTTCTTCTCCATTTTACTAGAATTGAAGCAGGGGTCACTATAGGTGATCTAGACAAGTGAGTGCAAGAAAAAGGAGAACCCGTGGGGGACTAAATTCACAGATTTAAGAACACTAAGATTAGATGTCACTTAAATATACCTGAGTCAGAATTCGTGTCTATCGTCCAAAAGGGTTTGTCTTTTCCTTTCAGGAAAAAGTTTAAAGGACAGTACTTCCCTGATTTTGTTGCTTTATCTAGTGTTGTAATGGCTTATGAAAGATGTTTAGAAGAGTAGTCCATATCTATACATAAATATTATGCTAGTATGGCTGAAGAGTGTAATCAAGAAGATGACATGTATGAGCTAGCGATAGCTGAGTTTGTACATGGTCCTTCGTTTGAGTGTCCTCCTTTAACTAACAAAAAGTTCACTTATAAGAAAGATCTGAGGTCTGATCAAAAGAGAGAATACACCTTTGATATTAAGAGATGTGATGAAATCTTTAATTGGCTTCTAAGTCATAAAAAGATTAAATTAACAGGGAGACATAAAATAAGAGGTCATGATGAGGTTAAAGGAAATAATTATTGTAAATGGTATGATGCTTTTACTCATAAAACTAGCGATTACATAATATTTAGTAATAAGATTCAGGATGAAATTGATAAAAAGCACATAAATTTCCTTGACGAAAAAGTTAGCTCTTGTGAAGTAGAGTCAGAGTCCGCCTCAGAGTCTGAAGTTTATGAAATGAATTGTTAATTGCTGACATGGATAATGTGCAGGATGAAATACAAAGACTAAAAGAGGTTACTATTGCAGTCAGATTGTATGAAAGGCTAGCCAAGGAAGGAGTAATTGTGTCACCTCAATGCTAGGACGATGACTATGAAGATATGATGATATGTAGATGGCACTTTAGTTCTGCTCATGCTACCAGTGAATGTTTGGCCTTCAAAGGGTTTCTAAATAAAAAGATCAAGACGAATGCAGTGATTGTTTCAGAGCAGGAATATCAGGCGATGAAGCTTATTGAATTCAATCCTAAAGGGAAGAAGGATAAAGCTAGGCCCTTTGGGAATGGTAAAAAAACTAATAAGTCACCTGACAAGATAAGCAATCACAAACAAAAGACACAGTCTTACAAAGAGGCAATCCAATCATTTCCCTTGCAAACCAAAGCAGTAAAGGGACTTAAGAATTTGCGACACAATCTTTGTCATTCTTGTGCTGATTTATTGCATTTTGAATTGGTCAAGACTGACACCGTTCCAAATGATCCCAGTTGGATACCCAAACTCCCAAAAACTCATCATAAGAAAGACAGAAATCAACAATCTGACTCCTTCTATAAAAACAGGTTGAGTTTCCATAA